CTGAGTAATTAGTTTAAACTGCAGCATGTCCAAGAGTGGACCCGCTGGTCCGCAGTATGTCCTCTGATAAGATCCTCTAACACAGCAAGACACACACACACACCACTCTCACCTGGAATACTCAAGACCTTCCTACTGAACTTTTTTTTATTTTATTTTTGATCAATTGGAATAATGGAAGGGGTTTAGGCATGTTAGTGCAAATGTCACGTATCAATGTGTGCAGTTGAATGTGTGAGTGTTTCGTTTTTATTTGTATGCATGTATTAGCTTGCATCTCTTACCACCTCACAACCTCTCCTGAGAAGTCACTTTTCCGTCAACAAAAGTCTGCTTTAATAAAGACTAAAATTAAGCAACAAACATTTACCCAAAATTAAACTTTTTTTTATTAAACTTTCATGCTCACAGCCTATCTAAGGCATGTATGATTTTTAGGAGAGTAAAAATTATAAAAAAAATGCTGGTTGCTTATTCTCAGCATGCAGCGAGACACAGACATAGACATATGGCAAGTCTACGGTGGCCGCATCTGTGGTGTGATGTGGGGAGAGAGTGTCAAGAACATGGATGCACTGGTCCATGGCAGTGTGCTTAGTGACACATAATACTGGTATTGCACAATCTTCCCCTGACCCATTTTTGTGTGACACACACTGAAGTCAATTTTCTGCACTTTTCATGCACGGAAGAAGAAGAAAAAAACCCAAACATTTTGCTACTCACTTTGGTGGAAGCCGATACTCTCAAGCTTACCCTTTCAAATTTGAAGAGAACACTTTAGAAAGAATCAGTTGGTAAGTTTTTTTTCTCTCCTATCTTCTTCACTGTTGCGCTTGGCTGCCTTGTCGTCAATACAGGGGTCAGGTGCTGCTGGTACTCTCACTCAAAAACCAAGAAATGTGGACCCCTCCACAGAAACCTCTACGTAAATGACAAGTATAAGGTTGAGGTGCCACCTCACACTCAGCACATTCTACAGGAAAAGTGTGGAAAAAGAGAGTGGGGGAGTGAAAGTGGTAGAGATATGATAAGGCTGGAGAGGGCATTGGGGGAGGGTAGGAAGAAGAAGAGAGCACAAGTGAATGAGAGACAAAGAGAAGCTGGATCTTTTTTTCCTAGAAATTTTTAATTGGCTTTTGGGCTTCAGTAGCACCCAATTAGCATGCTTGTTATATGCGAACACCAGGAGCTAATTGGCCTGAGAGGAGAAAGTGGCATGGCCCTGAAAGGAGAGAGCAGGATTCATTTGAAGGTTCACAGCTCCAATAGCCCCATGTTGGGAGGCTATTTGGCAAACACTTATAAATAACATTTTGGTGCTGGAGTTGCAAATATTTATATGTTCTTGCTGTCTTTATTGCCAGATGGTGTTACAAGAAATTGCAAGATTGCCATAAAGTGTATAGGCAATCAAAGAAAAGCATTTGACTTTTTACAACTTACCTGTAGCTACACAAATTGTCTTGAAATAGAAAGGAAACGTTAATGCACATAAACTACTATTTGCCCCAGGAATTAATCAGATCCAGGTAGAAATCATTCACAGGCATGATCTAACCTGTCTACATACAGTATGATGCTGCCCTACATCGGGGAATATGCTGAATACGCATGTGAACACAACATCACCATGAACTCACCAAGGGCAAGAGGCTGAATCTCTGATTACATTTACTGTACAAACTGTAGCAGCAGGATCGGATGAACAGGACATCAAGAGCTCATTATGCTCTTTACATGCAATTAATCAAACAATGTAAACAAAGCTCGCTTCAGCCACAACAGACAGAGCTAGATCCCTTGATGGCAATTCAAATGCGGAACACACAGTACAAGACTTAGTAAATGGAAAGGAAAGGAATGTGAATTATGGAAAATGTAAGATTCACAGCCAATCTGGAGATGATGTAAGAGTCGTAGCTTCCTGCTGAGACCACACACAAATATCACTGCCTCTTCTCACTGTTAAGCCTATAGTCTCCTCTTTTTGTGAAATGCACACAGTGTGTTAATGTTAAAATATCTTCACTGTGCAGGAAAAGTGAGACAAATGCGCTGTGGAACAAATCAGCATTCTGACTGAGATACTTATGTGGTTTGGCATGTACATGTTCCTTTCGACTCTGATGATCAGGGCTCAAGAGAAGATTTCTACCAGGTAAAATAAAAAATCCTTGGTAAAAAATTTAACCCTGAACCTTTAAAGGCATAATCAGGGATGCCCATGTAAAATACAACTTTATGCAGACAGTTACACTGGAAGAGGAGGTAATTAGCTATTTTGTAACCTCAAATTAATACTGTTAAACTAAATTTCTGTCTGGTTTTAGTGTTGCAAAGCTAAATCATTTTACATTAGTTGTGCTAACTAGCTACCTAGACTTTCTATTTTAGCTACTTTTGAGCAAATACAGCAAATACTGTTTTATTACATTACCATGGAAAAATAATACAGATGTAAAATAAAACAAATAGTCCACAGCTTTTGCCATACCTGCTCCATCACCTGACTGAACATCCCAACCTGTAGCCCGTGTCAATCCAAAATGAATGATAGCTAAGACATCATAGTACTTTAACTTTGTCTCTGTGTCTCAACTAACCACACTTCAGCAGACCCTAATGTAGACAGACAACAAAACTGGAAACATGGGACAAGAATAGCTCTTACCACCTCTGCTCTCTGCCCAGTAGAAATCATCTTTCCTTCTGACAAATGCCAGATGGAGAATAAGGCAGGCCATGCTCACAATGCTCGGCTTTGTCAGCCGCATCTGTAGGCCCCTTTTGTAGAAACCTTTTCACAATGCTATACTCCGGATCAAACCTTGGAGTTAAGTCCAGCATTCTCTGTGCTCTGGAGCTTTGTAGGAAAGTACACTGACTTTAAGTTCTAAGTTAGTTCTAAGACAAGGACTTCATTTAGGTAATGTTGGTTGAAAGCAAACCAAATGGATCCTCATGCACATATAGAGAAAAGGATTAACACAAAGAAATATGCTGACGACTCTCAGAGCTCTTTTAAAGCTAACACATACTCTAATTTGCATTTAACCTCATACGACATAACTGAGTATATATATTGCAAATGTGATTTCTGCTTCACATTCATTTTTCACTATTATTTCTTACACCCAACCAACAACAACATTTAATTTTAATTTTGTTTTATGGATCATCTTGTGAGAGTAAGGCTTGATATTTTTTTAAATGCCAGATGTCTCATTGGAACAAAATTTGCATTTTGGTTGTCTGACAGTCACACAGCCACAACCAGACTGCACAATCATGTCTGCAACGCTGTGTGGAGAAGCCACTGAGAGGGCAGCATTATACGACAGAGCATCTCAAACCACCCGGCCTTGACAATGACAATGAGACTGGTCCAGAAGTGTCACCTCTCTCAGTCTTTGTCTGTCTCTGTCTCCCTCTAACTCTGCTTGTTTTCTCTCTCTCTCACCCTCTCTCTGTCTCATACACGCATCAACACACACACACACACACACACACATGCACACATAAAGACAGAACATCTTTATTAGCCCTCTGTATGCAGGCTGTGCTCAGCCTGAGATTGCAGGACTGACCCCTCGCTGTGAGCTGTACAGGGGAAATGTTTACCCAAGCCCCACAGAACATGCCATTAACCTCTTTCTAGATAGAAGACAAACAAGAATGTTCCTCCACGAGGGCAATAAAGACAGGAACACCTATCCAGGACCATCATGACAATCATCTCATTATGAAGCTGCGGGAGGCAGTAACGAGCCAGGGAGCCCGGTCTCTCAGGGACTTTTTCGCCGCAGTGTACCAGTGTGCCTAACATTCAGTGAAGTGCCTATGAAATGCAGTGAAGTGCAAACAACTGATTAACCCAACAGTCAGGAACAATAACTGCCCCTCCCCTGGACAATTGGCCACCTTTGCCCCCCTTTTCAAACTGACCCCTATCCTTACTTTCTTCCTCTTCTACTTCCTGTCTCTTCCCTCCTATCTCCTTCCGTTTCTCTGTAGGTATCTCCCTCCCTGGAGATTTAGATGGATATCCAGAGGCTCTGATTAAAGCCCCTACCTGAGAGGGTGTCTTGGTATGTCGTGAAAGGGAAAGGGGGGTGGAGGGGGCAGTGAGAAGCCTGGGCACTAGAGCAGCTTTTCCTTCTTAGGGACCTGTGGGCATAATTCAATCACACCTCGATAATTCCCCTGATGTGAGAGTCGAATCCCCCTCACACACATCAAGTTCAGATAGACACCACAAGCTCCCGCTCATCCCAGATTGAGGGTCTCCTCCTGGGTGGGCTTAAGAGCCCACTACTGGGTACGTTTTACCTGTGTTGTTTGAAGAGGCCATTATTTTAATTGAAAAAGTTACCCGCCCGCCAAAGGCAAAACGATAGATGGGGGGAAAAAAACAGGGGAGAGAATTAAAACAAAAACACCAGATGGTGATATACATGGTAAAAATGATTGTTTATACTTACTGTTTGATTATATGTGATAATGAGAGTGGAATTCCTCAAGGCAATTAGTGTCTCGGCAGCCATATTGTGAGAGGACAGGGGAAGGACAGCACGGGCTGTTATGAAGGAGCGCTTATCAAATATCTCCGCCGGGGTGATTAGTGTAATAAGACACTGCAAGGTGAGATAGGCCACTCACGCTCTTTTAGTATGTCTGCTTGTGTGTGTGTGTGTGTGTGTGTGTGTGTGTGTAGGTGAGTGAGCAAGAAAGGCAGTGTGTGAGAGTGAGCAAGAAAAAGAGGCTGAGAGGGAGTCTGAGAAAGTATGAGTGACTCGTTCCATCTGTTTCGGTATCTGTATGTGTGTGTGTGCGCTTTAATGTGTGTCTTAATGTATACTGTGTCCCCATGTGCCTCGGCGTGTGTGTGCATGTGTGTGTAAGTGTGATATAATTCCTATGTTAATGTAGGTTCCCATGCCAGGCTGTCTGCCCCAGGGGCTTTAGCCTATGACAGAGGGCAGATCGGGGGCACTTACCCCTGGCAGAGTCTTCTGTTCATGGAGGGCGCTCTGGGCCTTCAGTGCTGACTCTCTGGCACAGTATGTTAGAAAGGCACATCCTACAGTATCAGGGAGACAGGAGAGAGATAGGCTTATTCCACCAGACAATGGCTCAACAGCTACACACCACCATTTATAATGAAAAGAAGAAAAAGGTGTTACAGTGACAGAGAATTTAGGGCTACGTTTAAGGGTAAATTTATGGTGTGTTGTGCTTTTTAAGTAGTCTTAAGGACTTTATGATAGAACACAAAACATTAAATCCAAAACATAGAAAGTCATATCTATGTCAGTATGATCTAGTGATTTCAGCATTTAGTACCCATTAAATACAATGTCTAAAATGTAAAAATACTGATTGTAAAAGGTAAGAGCACAAGCCATATAGAAGATAAAATATAGATAAACTTTCTCCATCATCTTTATGTAAGCCCATTTAGACTGCACAAAGTGGACTCTCAAACACAGATTTAGATTTTCATTGGATAGCTCTACCATGAAAGTACATTCTAAATGCACCATGTGAAGCCAGCCTAACACATCTCCATCAGTGTTTGTTCGGAGATTAAGTATTCCTACAGTCGACTTCCCAAACACATTGTAACCTTCCAAATGGACCCAGAGATTTGTGATTTCACTAGAGTAATTCCAATCTACGCAAGCCATAATATAAGATTTACTGGAGTTTTACAAGCTATTGCCAAAAACATGTATTATATTAAAATGGAATTCATATACTCCGCTGACAATTGGAATGTGGCTCTCTGAAGTTAATAGCTCTATACCCTCAGAGAAAATAACACGCTGGTTCAGAAATAAGATTCCAATTTTACATATTTTTTCAAAATATGACAACTGCTTCAGATTAGAATTACTGAACTCATGCATATGTTCACTGTTTATGAGAATAACAAGTTTACTACATTGTTGTCTGCCATTTTTCCCTCATTCAGTTTAATATAGCAAAATAGACTAAGCAAAATAAAACAGAAAAAATGTTAAACAAACAAGTGTCAAAACTGGTGTGCTCCTGGAGGTCAGGTTTAAAGGGAGTGGTGATGGAAAATGCTTAGTCACCACAGATAGGGTGTAATTTTTTTTTAGCTACTAAAAAATAAGCATAGTGCTTTCTGATGAATGAACACTTTCACAGTTATTGAACCAGGCACAGGAGGAAAAAGTCAAACAGTATGCATATTTTTTTTGGCTGCCAAGTAATCAAAATCCTTTGGTGATGAGCTGAAACTGTACCCTCATACATCTCTGGAGACTTTTCTTGCAGTTGGAAAACTCAGGAAAACGGTATGAATATGCATCAGTAAATAAGTCCCTAACAAAAATGTGACAGCTTTCATTAAAGGGTGAGTGCTTGCTCTGTTACGCGCTTGGCAGAGCTGACAGTGGGTGACCCCGTTCAGAAGAGGTTTTGCACTGTGCAGCATAATTTCCCATTACTACATGTCACACCTGCTGCCAAGGATTCCCAAGGGAGAAAAAAGATACACACACACAGTCACACACACACTCACACGTACAGATGATACCCGGCATGCAGCACATAGCACCCATCAGCCCCGAAACCCAGCAACACACTCTGGCGCCCGGCCAAGAGAGCTCCCTTTCACGACAACCTTCACCCACCTCCACAACTAGGCAGTTACTCAAGAGGAAAAATCACCTAAACGACACTGATGAAACAGCATGCCACATAGCAAAGCAGAAAAGTTTGGGAGCCTGGGGAAACACTCTTCATCCTTTGTGACATTACAAAACTGTGGGACATGAGCCGAGGCCTCCCGGGGGGCATGTCCTAGCAAAGGCTTATGGGAATCGTAGGTTTTGGTATTTTTCACTGTGCCACTTTGCTGCATATTGCCCAGAAGTTTAGTATACATCTTGACAAGATTTCATCGCAGGACTTACTGTAGCACGAGTCTAAAAATATCTCATCAAACTCATGAAGCAGTAATAGTGTTTTTTTTTCTTGACAGAGTTTACCAGTAAAGTTTTAATTAACCATTGTCCTTTTGGAAAGGTAACTTTGGACTCCCACGTCCATAGATGAAACATACACTGCAAGTGTTCATCATCAACAACATGCCATTGAAACAATCACACTATGGGGTCGATTGCATATTTTTTTTATTTCATAAAATATTTTCATTTTTTATTTTTTCTCTTTCTACCTTTTCTTTCCTCTTCAAAATGTATTTAATTCTAGCGAAGTACGTTTACACACGTTCTGTACTTACAGTTTTGAGGTTCTTGCAGTTTTTCCATTTTAAGCTACATTACACACTACATTTATTTTACAACTAGTTACTAGTTACTTCAGATTAAGATCTTCCATTGCTGTCCAGTATTTCCAGGAGCATGTTAAAGGCAAGTGAAGCAGCATCTGAAACAATTGAAGCGATCTCCCTCCCCTGCAGATTTGTCAAATTACTTGTAAAACTGGACTTTTTGTGCCACGTAGCCTTTAATATTCAGGCCAGCTGTGTGGCTGCCTCCGCTTCCTTGCAGTGGTGGAAAATCGGCAGGACTTTAGCAAAGCTTCACATCCAACAGTGCAGGCTCAGGGGACATCTTAAGCCCAAAGGAGTCAGTGATTGAGGAAGCCAGTTGTAGAACAGATGAGCATTCAGCTTGGAGAGCATGAGGAGAGGTGCAATGATATTGTTGGGGGGGGGTGTTTAACAAGGATGTAGCAGCTGGTAGCAGGTTAGAGCTGTCAACTTAAAATTTAAGTTGACTAATTGGCATGGGATTACATTCAAATGGGCCTTTCAAAAACATACTACTTTCATTGGTCTGTTTGGTAATGATGATTACCGCAGTATTGTGCAATTCAAATGTTTGAAAAAGAATAACATGAAAATACATTGGTTTGGTGTTTCATATTGCTATTACGGTGTGGGTACTTAAGATGAACAGTATTCATTTTCAGCAAATAACTCAGATAACCTTAAACTACTTGTGAATTCAAGTTTGAATGAACCAAAGACTTGAGGAAATAAGTAGCATGCAATGAATGGGAAGGAGAAGGGCAGGAGAACATGGACAAGGTTTTGAAATAAAGGGTAAACTCTGGTGGTGGTTCAACAGAAGGACTGGTGGCTTCCTGTAATGAGCAGGTTAAGTGGGGTGAAAATAATACTTTGGTAATCAAAGACAATTTACCACACTATAATTTCATCGAGGGACAAAAGTTCAACAAAATATATTAAAAGCAAATGAAAAAGTAAACCCTGCAAACTAGTTCAAAGAGAAAGCAGGAAATGTGAAATGTGCCTTTGCATTTGCTAGACACGTTCTGGGTAATTACTTAAAGAACTTCCCCCCTGTAAAGCTTCTTCCAACAGTTTGTTTTTAAATGGAAATTAGTATGTGCTCGCAAGTCACAATTGCATGCATCCAGGCATTAAAAGTAAATTGTGCTTTTTTAAAGCATCAGATACCTGTAATTGAAATAACTCCAGAACAAATTTGTATAAAATTTCAATTCATTAGCAACGAATTCATGAATCATGAGCAATTTGCTCTCCTTCAGTCTCCTCACATGTCTGATCCAAGAATGTTCATTAAAGTGGGAAAAGAATGCAAATTAATTTACAAAAAAAGATCTAGGCGCAAAAAAAATAAAATATGTAAAACAACTGGATGCTGCTGAATATGACAGCCTGACCCTCTCATGGGCACTGAGACAAATATGTGTGAGAATTCATCCACCGCTTCATGTTTCCGTGTTAACCACAATATTACCTGCGGAGCGTCTTCCTATCTTTCAGTCGTCCCATCCATCTACATTGGGACCGTTCAGAACGGTTAGCTGTCTGGTTTACACATAGCCCCCTTTCTAATGATCAAAGAGGTCATCTGTAGACTTAAGCTGCACCTGTCACTCAACTTACACAAACTGTCAATCACTGTCCAACACTTTCTCTAGATACAACCCAATACAAGCATGGATCTGTAACTCCTAGTGGCCATTACTAAAGGTCTCAAAACTAAAAAGCAACGTAATTTAATTCCACACAAAACTGTCTACGAACTGAAAAGATGCTTTCAAGGATTTGTTGTTACATTCTATGAGTCATTTGCAATTAGATATTAGTGCCCTACTGTGGTTTACTTTTGACATTTTAATGCCTGAGAGGGTTTTTTATGTCAATTTGGCAGGCTATTTATAGCCAATTACACTGCATGGACCTACCGAGGAGAGGAGAATGGATGAGGATATTTAACAACTCTTTGTATCTCTTCCTCCTGGCTGTGTGGTGCAGCGCAGAGTCCCTTTTCTCAGCATCAGAGACGGATTGATAGATAACGCTACTCAAGCAAAAGATTTGCCCCCCACTAACATTCAGCATGTCTGAACAATGCATGCGTTCTGGCACTGACACTAAGTATTATGATAATGTAGTGCTCAGCGAAATGATGGATGTTAAACAGCACGACCTGGCTGCACCACACACTGACAAGCACCATGCCCGCCAATAGTGTCAAGTCATCCCACGCGCTCTATAAGACTCCCTGACGACACACAAACTATCAACCCGGCATTAAAAGCAACAGTGTCTAACAACTATAAGGCAGGTTATAATCGTCTGTTAAAAAAAACAGATGAAAAAACAAATAGACATCAGCATACAGCTATATTAATCCACTGTACAAGAAAATACAAAATATAAAATTCCCCTGATATTCAAAGTAAGTCCCTGGAGATACCCTAAATGCCCAAAGTAAGAATTCTCAAAGCACAAAACATCTGTTCAAACCGATGCAGTACAATCCACATGAATTAGTCATGAGCAAACATGACATATTTTGATCTGCCCTTAAATCCATAATTATAGTGCAATTCTGTGTCACAGGACTCGGGCTGTGAAAGGTAGTGCTGCAAATCATCCATTAGGTACGGTTTACTAACTGATGCCAACAGCCATATACATCATCTATCCGAAACAAATCAAATCTTTCTCAACCACAAACTGAGCTCAAAGAGGGATTTCAAAGTAGTAGTCAGACTAAATTTATGGCACTGCACTAAATCTTTATAAACTTTATGTTTTTCGGGATCATGGAGCCAAGCTGATTATATTCTGCCCCACTCTTCCATTGCTCTGCTGTTAAAAATGTTTGTGTTACTGTTAATGATAAAAATGTGGCTGGAATTTGTGACAATGTTACAATATTGGGAGCCACTTGTGCATTTGACATAATATGCCAATGGCTACTGGCATTTTGTGAACTAAACAGAACACAAACTACTTTTTAAACCACTGTTTGATACATACACTGTGGTAAAAAGATTATTGTAAAACCTTATATTGTATAGAGGCAGCGGAAATGAATCAACCTCTGTACTAGTACATTGTTGATGATAGCTACAACACTAGTCTGTGTAGATGAATCCCATTCATCCAGGTAGTACAACACCAGGTTGAAATGAAATTATCCAATGGACTGTTAGTTGTAAAGATCTGTGAAGTTGTGAAGCTGTTTCAACACTCAGCCAAGGGCTTGCTACTGGGTTGCATTATCATCTATCAGCTACCCTCATGTGACATCAGGATGACATGAACAACAAAAGTTAAATGGCCTCATCACCAACCAGTAACATGAATAGCATAACATCTTCAACTGTAAAACTACAGTCCAATTGATAATTTAATTTCAGCCCATTGCTATTAGACTTGTACAGTAGGTTTGTTTTTGTCCAATCAATGTTACTATATTAGTGTGATGGACCACCAATAAAACCAAAATCACTTCACTGTTTAGAGATCTTTAAATCTAATCTAACAGTTTTTATTTGGCCCTTGATAGCATTGGAACTGTGAACACAACACAGACATATTATCACTCTTGTTATATTGTTGTTATAATAAGTTGTTTTGTCAAACATTAGCATTAATTTGGAGTTTCTGGGCAGGTCATAAATGTCCAATATTCACTCTCATTTTAGCTATGTTTTCTCCACTTTCTCCTGAGGCAATTGTATGGATCTTTAGCTGTTAAAGGCTCTAATACTTTCAACAGCTAGTCACTAACTTTGTCTGTAGGTCACTTACAGTTGAGCAAGTAGCGCATAGTTGATTTTTAGAGTTATTGGACTGAAGACAGCTGCCTGCTGTAGCTAAAATCAACACTATGAGAGCAGAGAGAATAAAGCAAAATGGTATTGTTGCAGGCCAGAAAATCAAAACAGTAAGCTCAAAGATGCTAAAAAGCTCCATAGAGCTGAGGGGAACTGCAGGGTCAGGTGATAATTCTCTGTGGGTTCATCACTACGTGTGACCATTTTAACAAACACGTACTCGTGATCCACTGTTAATATAAGAATTATTATAGTTGCTTTAAACTAGAGATATCAATGCTCAACAAACTCATTGTAACCTTAATGATGTTGAGTGTTGCGCCTTAATCCAACTAGTAATTGTAACAAGTCATGGTCCAACCACAATGCAACTGTTCCATTCCACTTTAATGTCTGAATATCTTAAGCCTAAATGTATTTGTTTGAAAATACAGAGAGCACATGCATCCTAAAAAAAACTTTTACATAAATATAAAATTCACTGTCAAGTTTAATTTCAGCAGATAAATGAGGAGGAAAGTGTTTAACAGTATAGCAAGACCCAGTTTTCTTATATAATAACAATATTATATTTTGTTCCATGTTGTTAACTAGTACTTATGTACAACTTTAATAATTTAATGTGCATTGTTTTTCTGAAACAATTACATTTCATATTGGTAAAGTTTGTATGATATGGTTAAAGCTCTGGACAAAAGCCAGTACTGTGGGCCTTGAGATGGGTGACCTTAGTGTGTTGTTTACAACAAACCTAGTGTAGTATTTTGAAGGACTTTTACAGTTAAGTAAGTAATTCATTTTGCCGTCAGTTCACCTACAAAAGTTTTTCTCTTTTTCAGATTGGGCTTTCAGTCAGTGTTTTAAATTGCTGTCCTTGAGTTACGCAGCTAATGATACACTATACCTACTTCTATTTTGTTAACGACACTAATCCCATTTTCTTGCTCTTGTACTTTCTTGCTTCAGTCCACAGGTATCACACATCGGCACAGCAGGAGGCATGAACATGGTTTAGGTGAGTGGCCAATAAGAAAAACTCATCCATATAATGCATTGGTGAAATCATATTAAAAGTGCACGCTAGTGCTCCCAAAGTGACTTTGAATGTCATGCGGGATGAAGTGGGCATAATGCATATATCAGAGTGGCCTTGCTGGAGGATGATTTGAACGGACATACAGTCTGGCTTTGGAACAGGATTATCCTTCCCGAGGCAACCATCCTCCAGAGTGTTGACATTCAGGGATGGTTGAGGACAGGCGTAAACAACATGAACATCAGAAATATTGTTTTAATCGATCATTGGGCTCCAAAGAGGAACGCTGGAAAGAGGGGGAGCAGGTTGAGCAACAGCGACTGATGGCTAGGGGAACAGGTGGTGCATGGAGACCTTCAGGGCTGCACACACAAGAAAGCAATGCTGAGCCCACACTCATTTCTCCCACAAGAGCGCTTGACTTGTGCTGATCAATAAGATCATGAACTGTAGCCACTGACTCACATATGATACATAATTTCCCTGCCGTGTGAATAGGTTATTTTTACTGCGGGTGAACTGATTGTGAATTCAGTGCTATGTGTGTGAAGAGTTGTGTGTGTGTGTGTGTGTGTGCGTGTGTGTGTATGTGTATGCTTGCCTTTGTGATTTAAAATGATAACTTAATTTAAACATAATTAATAACTATCTAAAAAATAGTATCAATCACAAACAGCAGTGGCACTGTCATAATAATAATGTTCTATATATCACTGTCATTTAGCTGATAATAAACCATAGGCTCTATACAGTCTGCTTATGATGACACGGATAGTAAGTGTTACCTTATTATGGATTTTCATTCAAATAAAATTAATGTTTAAAACACTACAAAATAAAGTCTAAACAATTCACAAATAATACTAATAATAACTTCTGATTACGCTTGGATAATTATTAGATTTACATTGGCCACAATAGAATAAGATAAAACACTAATGGGAAGATTAGTGCAATCAATTCAAAGCTTGAAATAACATCTAAACATCTTAATGCAAATATGGCCACTGCCTTTAAAAAATGTTTTTTATATTTACATTGAAATTCTGATTCTATTATAGATCTTTCTATATTAAATGTAAATATAAAGGAGTCGTGCATATAGCAGTGAGTTGTGTTTAAACCAGACTTGGACTTTCAATTTTAGACTTGATGTTTGCTCTTTTTTTTTTTTTTTGTAACTGAAAGACCCTCCAACCCTAACCGCACTCAGGCATTCGTTATTATAACTATCATTAGAAGTGATCGATCCCTGATTCCCCGTGGCCTGACTAATTATAAGTGAATACTGATCCCTCTCCTTTTGGACAATGAGGGGGGACGAGAAGAGGGAGGGCGAAGGGGTGAGAACAGAACAAGAGAGAAGACGATGCATGCTGGATCTCAGCCTCTACTATTATCCTGCTTTGTACTTCCTGACTGCAACCCGCCCACGGAGCAGCAAAACAATACAGCTGCCATGTAAATAGTATTTTTTCCGCAGCTAATGACGTCCGAAAAGTAGGCTCTATAATAGCCCGCTGAAAGGTCAAAGCAGCATGCCAGCACCACCTTAATCACCGCTGCTGATTGCCTGATAATGGTTTGCATTTTTCGTTCCCCCTGAAAGCATTTATTTTTCTCCGACAATGTGCAGCAAATGGACTCTTTTTTTTTTTTTTTTAGTTGTGAAGAAATTTCTGCAGCTGCAGAAATAACACAGCATCGAGCGCTTGCCTGTCCCGCCCCCTTAACTGGAATGCTCAGCACATGAGAGTCAATGTAAACACACAAAGGCGTTTTCAGCTGTAGTATTCACGTGGATTGGCTGGACGCGGTAACAATTAACCCTGCACTCGCAAGAGCCATTCGCTTCCACGTGTTCTCCCTCTCATGCCTCATATATTTGTGTGTGTGTGTATACGTATGTGAAGGCTCTACGGGGCTCCCACTCTGTCCCAAACATCTGCAAATTAACACACTTTCCATGCTCTCTGCTCCCAAAACTGAATTGGGACGCTCCTTTAATTTCTCTCTCTCTCTTCCTCTGCCTGTCTCCTTTAAATATTCTTCTAAAGCGCACACAAGTAAGAAGATACCAAAATAACCAACCTTTATGCATTCCCGTAAACCTGTCTTTCAGTACAGTGAGTTCGTATATCTTTCCGAATTCCTCAAACAGGGGTTTCAGGTCTTTTTCCTCCAGGTTTCTGGGAATCTGCCCGATGAAAAGCTTGATGGCGTCGTGGTCCTTCATTGGAATGGTGTTCTGGCCGATGGTAAGCCCGTTCATCCTGCCGGCGCTGTTCGTGGTGCTGAATCCATTCTCTTGCTGCACTCCGTTTGCAGTGACTGTAGCCATCTTTCCTCAATGGGCCGGCGAGCTGCTCTCTCTCTCTCTCTCT